CTCACTCATCTTTGAGCATACCGTGGTTAGATACGAGTTGCCTCTGCACATCATAGGCACTCAGAAAATGTTTGTGGAAGGGACAGTCACCACACAGCAGAAACAGAATATAGTATGAAGTCACAGACAGAACTTCTTATCTAAGCACTCACCCATTTCCACTGAGTGTGTGAACTAAAGGCCCAGAGAAGGCAAAGTGAGAAACTTCAAGAGTAGAGAGGAAATAAAAATGGAGTAATAGAAAAGGAGATTATTGATGGGAAAGAGAAAAAGAAACATGAGGAGGGACCCCCCAAACCCCTGAAATTTATTTATAAAAAATTGTGTATTTATTCATATATGTTTAAACATCAGTCACCTTAAAAATACTCTCCATTTGATGCCATACACCTATCGGGATGTTTTTTCCACCGCTCATAACAGTTTTTGATGCCTTTTAGTGTTTCTGCTATTTTTTGTTTCACCTCTTCCACATCAGCAAAACGTTTCCCTTGGAGGACTGCCAGGGTCCAGCCTCGGCAGGGTTCAGGTTCCCCGAAGGATGGACGGCCCAGGCAACGAATGACGAGTCAGACAACCGATTGGATGCTGGAGAACAGCCAGCCTCTGTGGGTCTGACCAAACTCTCAGAGTTTGATTTAGGCTTTATTTTTATAGAGATTGTTATATAACATTAAAGGAACAGGTGCATGGCATGATCAGTTAAGCAGAAAAAACCAGTACAGAAGTAAACTAGGAAAAGTATGATAATTTTCATCATTTCAGTTATGTCAAACAAAAGTTGTCTGGACCAGGAGAACCATTAATCAGACAATTTGAAATAGCTCTATGTACAGAGTTTGAATGTCTTATTGTTTATTAAAGTTCTTAGAATTTGACATGGGGCAAAAGGGTACGCTAGACCGAGCAGAGGTTAGGAAATTCATTATAAGGCCTTTGTGATGTCTAACTTAGCTATCTATCTTTTTGTCTAAAATGCTTTTTTATGTAATATGGACTGTAAGTCCTTGGTAATTGTTTCTACATGCTTAGTTTGTAGTAGCTAACCAGCTTCTCTGGTTTCTTTGCCTGTCTATTTCTGATTAATACATATTCCTGTCCAAGGTAGAGGAGGAGCTGTTACTCCATCAACTTTTAGATATTCAGGGGCTACTTCATTAGCAGGGACTTTGTTCTCTGGCCAATGGAATCATTCTGTACAACTTCATTGGAATTATGCATATCATTGGACCTGAAATGCAGGTGTCTAAAAATCCCACCACCTATTAATCGCAAAGGCAAACATGCAAGGGAGAGATAGAGAGGAACCCAGCCACAGTTGCCTCTGCTGTGCAGGTGCATCTCATCCGTCCCAACTGTGTCAAGGGACAACTGTTGGTCGGCTCCTGACAGAGGACTTTTTTTCATCTGGGGAAACAAGAGTTGCTCAGGGCAGGATCGAGTGATAGGAAGGGTAGGGCACAGGGGTAATGCCATGTTTGGTCAAAAACTGCTAACCAAGCTTGCTGATAGGTGCATTCATATCACCTATCATGAAATGGACAAATGTGTTAAAAGACCCTCCCCTCCTAAAAAAAATCGCCAAAGCTGAGTGCAGCCTCTCACAACAATACCAGCTGGTATGCTGATATAGATCGGTTCCTAGAACACTCACTTGGTGGGGGTAGCCCATACTACAAGAGGCCCACTCTCCAGAAGATAATTCTGGTTTTGGGGGATCCTCTCTGGTAGATTGGACTCAGTGGGGTTTGGAATGAGTGCCTTTGATAGCTTAAAACAAATACCATAGACTTGGTTGGAAAATCCAGGACTGTGTAACCTGCAAAGTTAAGATATACAATCAACCAATTCTTAACTCATTCTTTGAGGCTTATATTCCAGGTCATTCCCATTTCTAGACAAAAAACTGAAATCCAGACTTTCCTGAACTAAAATGTGAATTGTTTGTGACAAGTGCACTGTGCTACCATATTTCTTAAAAAACCTGCCTCTCTGCTGTCAGATAGAGTAGCAAAAAACTATCAGAAAGGCCCCCCCAAAAAGGCAGTTGGTTTTTTTCTGCCGCTTTTATCTTAAATGGTGGGTTTGGCCACTAATCAGAATCCAGAGGGAATTCTTGCTGTCTTCCCGAATAATCCCATTGAGTCTGTGTTTGATGCTAGTCCTTCCGGGCTTTCCTTTCTCCTCTGACATATGTTTATAGAATGTTTGTGAATGCTTTCATTTCCTTCCCACACTGAGAGAGAAAAAAATAGTCAGCTTGAGAAACATACATGTGAAGTCTGTCCGGGAAAAGCTATTATTAATATAATGAGAACAGTTTGCAGGACATCAATGTAACTGGGCAGCCAAGGAGAGTGGACTGGAATGTGCATGCATGAATAATAACTGACTGTACTAGTCAGTGGGGGCAGTAGACACTATTGAGTAAGCATGTGTACTGTGTGGCCCTTGCATTTAAAATGACTGAGGGAGTAGAGCAATGAATCTGCACCAATTTTGCATGAAGCTTGAACATGTCTCTGAGGAAACTATTTGGATGATTCAGAAGGCGACAGAAGTGGGCAACTGGTGACTGGCAGCTTCATTTACCAGTTGAAGATTTGGCACCCTGTGACTTCTGGCTTTTCCCAAAGCTAAAGTCACCTTTGAAAGGGAAGAGATTTCAGACTGTCAATTAGATTCAGGCAAATATGACAAGGCAGCTGATGGCAACTGGGAGAACTGTGTGAGGTCCCAATGTGCCTACTTTGAAGGACTGAGGCATCATTGTCCTTTGTACAATATTTCTTATATCTTGTATCTTCTTCAATAAATATCTATATTTTCATATTACATGGCTTGATACCTTCTTGACAGGATGAATATTAAAATATTCATCACTCAACAAAAAGTTTATCAGTTCCTGAAGGTGGGAGCAGAGAGGTGGTATAGCAGATGGTGTAGAAACTGACATCAAACAGCTCTAGATTTGAATTCTGGTTGGATCATTTACTACCTGCTTATATTACTACTTGTATTTGCATAACTAAACCTCACTTTCTTCCTCGGTAAAATAGGGATAGTAGCTACCTGTGCTGTCAGGTCTTCGGCCAATCCTGTGTATGTGGCTTGGTGGCTTCTCCAGCATTGTCAAATGGCAGTGCTTTCTTCATCTACAAGAAGGAGTTTGCTTGTCTGTCATTAAGAGCGCTGTATGATAAGGTCTAGAGTTGTCCATCCATAAGAAGTATTTTAGGCAATATATATCAAACAATGGATCAAAGGTTGTATCCTGGAATGGTCTCAGTTTTTATTGCTTACATCTGCTCATGAAATCCATTGCCAGCATGCTACTAGGAAATGTCTTTGTCATCAAATACAGGAAATTTGACTCAAAGCAGGCACTCAAAGCAGACAGAAATTTGACTCTCAGGCACTCAAAGCATGACATTATCATTCAATGTCATGACTGTCATGCCTAAGTATGTTCATAGTACTACTGAATAGTGGATAAACCCCTTTTTGTTTGCTCCCCTAAATTGGAGGGGAATCATAGAAGAGGGGGAATCATGTATCTCTTTCTGAACCTTTAAAACAGTTTGACAGTTATGGAGAGAGAACTCACCATAGGACAGCTGAGAAACCCATGGACATCACAGCTGACCATTAATTACTTCAATTTGAGACAAAAATAAAGGAATTTTGCTCGAAAAAACCCACATTCTGATTGATGCTTGTCTTTCAAAGTTTTGAATCTTTGAATTACTGTTTTTTAAAAAGAACCTATTTATTACTTTAGGAGCTTGGTAGGAGCAAGGATGTTTTGTTGATCTTGAGCCCCTGATTTCCTATAAATATTAATTTGCAAGGTGGTTACAAGGATTATCATAGTGGTTAAAAAAACACATTTCTGGTGTTCAAAGTCACACACCAGCTATGTGACTTAAAACAAACTCTCTGAGCTCGAGTTTCCTCATGAAAAATGGGAATTAAACGTGATAACACAGTTGAACTCTTAGCATGTTGCCTGGTATGTGGTAAGTACCCAAAGATGTACCCAATGGTAGTTACTTGTTTTTTTAAATCCAACTTTTTAATTGAATTTATTAACGCAAGTCATAGTACCTATGGATACTAAGAAAACCGGGTCAGACCACTCAGGCTTTCTATAAATGATTATCTATTTGGTTCTGAAGTTGATCTCAAAATATGGGAAATGGTGATAGATTAAGGTCACGGGGCTCAGGGGAAAGGAGCAGAACAGTGTGGTGTAGTGGAAAAGTCACAGACTTTAGCACTTAAACGACCTGCATTTAAAGTCTAGTTATATTTCTTGTTCCTAGTCGCTTAAGCCAGTCTTTGTCCCTGGGTACCCGGCTCCTCATCTGTAAATTGGGGAAAACTCTAAGGCCGGAGGTATCGTAACCATCAGAGACAGTCAGGGAGGTGCCTAGAACTGCAGGCCTCAGAAGCTTTTTGGATTAGGGAGGAATCCGCCCCTGAGACCTGTCACCAGGACGCTAAACGAGCAGGAAGTCCGGGGAAACGCACCCACGGTGGTGGGCAGCCCAGAGTGGCCAGGCTGTGCACCAAGACGAAGGCCGAGGGCTTGAGAGGCCTTTTGTTGGCCGTCTAGACTGCCTTTGCACGTGCCAGGAGGATTAAAGCTATTTGTTGCGGTGCCGCCGCCGCGATGGGCCTCCGTGATGGCAGGCGGCGGGACAGCCGGCCTGACGTCAGGTAGAAGCCAAGCTCCTTCGGTCTACGACCAGACAAGTGGATCCCGCTACAGACCCAGCCGCTACATAGAAAGAAGGGGCAGGAAAATGCAGATCTCACGAGAATTATATAGGCTACGAGACCGCGCCCCTAAATGACAGCCGGGTGGGCCACTGACGGGAGCGGCTCGGCCACGTGGGGGCGCCCAGTGGACGGCGCGAAGCCCCGGCGGCCAATGGCTGGCGGGGTCGCGGGCGGGGCGGCCAGCACTCCGGAGGCGGGGGCGGAGTCTCGGCGGGGAGGCGGGGTGCCTGGCGGCGGCAACAGCAGCAGCAACAGCAGTTGCAGCAGCAGTAGCGGCTGAGGTAAGACTGATGAGGGTGAAGGGTACTCACGGCGACTGACCGCGGGAAGTTGTCGGCCTGGAGGTGGTGGCGCAAGGGCGGCTGTGCCGAGAGGTACAGAGTTGAGGGGTGGCACCTACTGCCGGCCTCTCAGGCACAGGGTCGCCGGGGATCCACCTGCTGGTAACGGAGCCACCCGCGCCACGGCCAGGCCAGGAGTTCGCGCGCCGCCGCGGGCTGCTGCTCCGGTAGTCCGGGCGCTGGCCGGGCCCGGGCGTGGGCCGGGTGCCTTGGTCGCTGTGTCAGCCCCCTATAGTCATCAGTGCGGCCCCTCGGTGCCGGGAGCTCTCCAGTGGCTGGCCGGGCTCCTGGTGCGTTCCCGGCTCTGCCCTGCACGGCGGGGCTGGTCTACTTTGGGGCAAAGTGGCGGAGAGAGTGGGTTTGGGGGTGCGGAGGGGAAGTGAGAGTTGTTCGCTGATCGAGGGCCCCCGTCAGGCGTTTCCAGGGGGCCGAGGGCCGGGTGAGATAGGGGCGAGGCGGTCCCGGCCCAGAGGCAGGGGCTGCTCCTGCCTTGGTGAGGGAGCGTGCAGCCGCGGTAGCGAATTTTCCTACAAAGTGAAGACCTGGTAATGGTGTGGTGTCAAAGAGCAGCCCATTTCCCCACCACTTATGGAGGAAGCTGCACGTGGGACCCTTAGGTTGGGTCCGTGTGATTCCATTGAGTGTGCCAGGTGACAGCTCGAAGGCGTGTTTTATGAGCTGGCAGTCATACCCCTCTCGCGCCCGCTTTATTTCTCGCAGCGTATGTTCTCTGAAGCCCGGTCATTGCTTACAATCCGAATTGCGAAATATGAGCGGGCACAATGTATGTGTTTAATGGTTTCCATATATTTTGCTGTTGTACTTTTGCTGTTGGACGAATTCTGATATAAGATAATGACGTTGTTTGTTTGAATTTAGAACCTAAATTTAGAGTAAAATATTATGCGTTTTGTGTTTTATGTTTCCTTTTCTGATTATTTTACAAAATAGTGTACTAACAGGTATGGCATCGGTTTCTTTACTCTTACGTATAAATCCGAAAATGTACTGGACGATGAAATTATGTAAGATGTTTTAAGTAAAAATATTAATCCTTTCACAAATGTAAGATAAGTGAATTGTAACGTAATTGTGGTATATAAAGTTAGAAAGATTACATCTTGGATTTCATGATTGCCCCTTCCTCCCTCCCTCCCTCCCTCCCTCCCTCCCTCCCTTCCTTCCTTCCTTCCTTCCTTCCTTCCTTCCTTCCTTCCTTCCTTCCTTCCTTCCTTCCTTCCTTCCACTTTGTCTGTAGGATGGTGATTAAGGACTTTGTCAAATGTTCAGCAGAAATATTATGAGCAATGGGACAGAGCTGTCCAGAGAACAAATTAAAATAACCTGTTACCTAATAATAAAAACATAGGACAGTAGCCCTTAAAAATCTCTTAATAAAATATTTTTTTTCAGTGTGAGATCTAGAGTTGAAAGTTTCATTCATTTTTATCAGGATGGAGAAGATGACTAGGAATTTTAGCCACTACCTTTTTCGTTAAAGATTCAAAAGTGTAAAGTGATAGACTCAGAATAAGATTTTTGTGAACCTGGATACTTTAAAATATGGGTCACTTTGTCTCTTGAGTTAGTCAATCCAGAGGGCTTTTGGTTGTCCAGCCTAGCAATCGCCTCTCCTGGTTTAAGGGCCCAGAGATCAATTAAAAAAAAAAAAAAAAGACTAGAGATCATTAGTTTTACTCTTGTCCTGAGCCTTCACTTATACTGTGCAGTTAAACTTCATTATTTTGGAAACCTTGATTTAAAATGTATGACTACATTCTTCCTGAGTAAAATGCTGCTTTAGTTCTCTTGAAGAATTTTAGGTCTTATTTGTTAGTAGAATTCATTATAAGTGCAATATCTTCTTTAAACCAGGGCTTAATAAGTTCTTCTGTTTAATATTTCTTATATTTTTCAATATATCTGTAGTTTGCTTTTAGAATTCATTCACTTTTAATTGTCTCTGCCCATTTATACTGGCTTTTATCATAATGGGCTTTATTTTGATAAAACTATTTTAAAATATCCTTAATTTTATGATTTGCTATTTCTTTACTTACCCGTGATTATTAATTTAATGTTTAATCTAACCCATATACTTTTAGATCTTTTACTAGAACAAAACAGCAACAGAAAGTCATACAATTTTTATGTTGGGTTGGCCAAAAAGTCCATTTAGTATTTCTGTAAAATAAAAGACACATTTTTCATTTTCACCAATAAATTTATTGATTTGGATATTTTGAGTATGTCAGTATCTCCTGCTATTGGCTTCTAGTGGGTAGAAGCCAGGGGTGCTCCTAGATACCTTCCAACGCATAAGACAGCCCCACAGCAAGAAATTATTCGGGCAAAGTGTCAGTAGTACCAGGAAAGTTTGCAAACCACTTTTGACATGTTTAATGAGTCACAGCACCTTCTCCATACACTGCATGTCTTTTTTTTTTTTTGCATTTCAGTTGTGTTTTTACGTTTCTTGAAATAATAAAACATAATGCCAAAAATGTTGCATATCTTCTTTTATCTTTGCTGTTTAAATGACTGCACAAAAATTTACCAATTTTAATGTTTGTCTTAAATGCACACTGATATGAGAGCTGTCACAATACAGTCTAACAAAATTGTTTCAAATGGAGTTAAAGACAACTAAGTGCTACTAGAGCCATTACATGGAAAAAACGTAATGAACTTTTTGGCCATCCCAATATAATGTCATACCAGGGTTTATTTTTTATTTTTTATTTTTTTCAATAACAAGTTTTATTTAAACAATAAATATAGGACAGATATCATCTCAGAATATATGATACATATGATAGCATTTTAAATAGAAAAAGCATTAATGACTGAATAGATTGAAAATATCAAATACTTAAAGTCTTGAGTTCCTAGTGATAGCACTAATCACAAAACACATTGGTTTTCCTTGATTGTTACTAGGGCACTAATACAGTTTTTTTATTAGACTTTTTTTAGAGCTATCTTATTTTTTATTTTTTTTTAAATTTTTTTATTGATTATGCTGTTACAGTTGTTCTATTCCCCCTTTATTCCCCTCCACCCTACCCCCCCATCCCCACCATTACCCCCCCTTTAGTTTATGACCATGTGTCTCAAGTCCTTTAGATTCTATATTTCCCATGCTATTCTTGCCCCCCATCTATTTTCTATCTATTGTCTATGCTACTTATTTTCTGTACCTTCTCCCCCCTTCTCCTCCTCCCACTCCCCTGTTGCTAACCCTCCTTGAGATCTTCATTTCTATGTTTCCACTCCTGATCTAGCTGTCCTTTTAGTTTGCTTTCGTTTTAGGTGTGGTTGTTAATAACTGTGAGTTTGTTGTCCTTGCATGGTTCATGTTTCTTTAACTTCTTTTTCTTAGATAAGTCCCTTTAACATTTCATATAATAAGGGCTTGGTGATGATGAACTCCTTGAATTTGATCTTATCTGAGAAGCACTTTATCTGTCCTTCCATTCTAAATGAAAGTTTTGCTGGATAGAGCAATCTTGGTTGTAGGTCTTTAGATTTCATGACTTGGAATACCTCTTTCCAGCCCCTTCTTGCCTGTAAGGTCTCTTTTGAGAAATCCGCTGACAGTCTGATGGGGACTCCTTTGTAGGTGACTGTCCCCTTAGCTCTTGCTGCTTCTAGGATTCTCTCCTTCATTTTAATTTTGGCTAATGTAATTATGATGTGCCTTGGTGTGTTTCTTCTTGGGTCCAACTTCTTTGGTACTCTCTGAGCTTCCTGGATTTCCTGGAAGTCTATTTCCTTTGCCAGATTGGGGAAATTCTCCTTTATTATTTGTTCAGATAAGTTTTCCACTGGTGGCTGTGCCTTTCCCCCTTCTGGTACCCCTATAATTCGGATGTTGGAGCGTTTAAAGATGTCCTGGAGGTTCCTAAGACTCTCCTCATTTCTTTGAATTCTTGCTCCTTGACTCTTTTCTGTTTGGCCATTATTTGCTTTCTTCTGGTCCACGCCATTGATTTGAGTCCCAGTTTCCTTTTCATTGCCATTGGTGTCCTGTGCAATTCCATTCATTTCAATTAGTTTCGCCTTCATATATTTGTCTAATTTGTGGCTATAATCAACCAGTTCTGTGAGGATCCTGATGACCAGTGTTCTAAACTGTGCGTCTGAGAGTTTTGCTATTTCTTCATCGCTTAGATCTATGGGCTCTGGGGCTTTAAGAACTTGCGACATTTTTGGTCTGTTCTGGCCCTTTAAGTGTGAGAAGCGGTGCCTTGGACTCCCAGGTCGCTGGGTTGTGACGCTATATGTGGGGGCGTGGTCAGAGCGGGGAAATGGCGACCCCCTCTGCCGCTTCTTACAGCTGGGTGCGGCGGAGCAGTGCGTTAGGTGGTTCACCTGGGACGGGCCACTCAGAGTCGCTGGGTTATGACACTGCATGTGGAGGTGGGGTCAGAGCAGGGAAATGGCAGCGCCCTCCTGCTGGCCCGGTATAACCGCCCACTCCCTCGCCTATCCACCCGCGCACAAATGCGCGACCTCAGTCAACACGCAGCCCCGCTGCCCCGCCGTCTCCCCCGCGGTCTCTCACTAGGTCCGACCCTGCGCCTGGATTCCGCGGGCCTGAGTCCGTCTGGCCGAGTCCTCCTGTGCAACCCTGCTCCGCCAGCCGCTGGTTTCGCCCCTTACCGGTCAGGCTGAAGAATTTGTTGTTAACGGACTTCCGAAAAGTTCAATTTTCCGTGTTCTGGCTGTGTTTTCTGTTGCTAATATTTAGTTTTCTCTAATCTTGGTTGTGTGAGAAGGCATGGCACATCCACCTATGCCTCCATCTTGGCGGAACCATACCAGGGTTTAAATTCCAAGTTACATAGTTCACTGTTATCACTTCTTTTTTTTAATAATCAGAACTTATTATTGGGTGCTTAGTTATATAAGATTATTAGGCACTTTATGGAATTGAAAGTACAGAATTCACCATGAAGATTTTAAATTGTGAACAGTAGACATGGACATATTTGATGTTAACTTGTATTAACAATAGAAAATGAATAACTTGGGGTTTAGAAACCAGTGATAACTTGTGAGAATATCTTTTGAGTTCCTTGTTTTTAGATAGTAAGAGTAAGCAGGGAAGTGGCGCTGGGGAGTTCAGTGCTTCTAGAATATTATACCACAGAGTTGCTGGTGAAGGAAGATTATAGGCGTGCCTTAGGGTTGTGTATGCACATATTGTGTGTGTGTGGGGGGTGTTAGTCAAAGGCTATAGAAAAAGGAATTTGTTCAAGATTCTAAGTTTAAACTTTGAGATTTCTTATGAATTTTGCAGCTTATTTTGTAATTGTTCCATGTTTGTTATGGAGTATAAACATTTTTAAAATTCGCACTTAAACTGTTGGCTAAACTTAACACCTTATGAATATTCTTCATATAACCTGAGACTTGGGAGTATCCCTGGCACCACTCTCCCTGCTTGGGTGCAGGTGGATGAGTTTGAGAGGCAAAAAATCTGGTAGATAAGAGTTTAGACTTTGGAGTCATACAAATTAGGGTTCTCTTTGAGTTCATTTTTATTGTGTGTAAAATCAGGTTAATAATGCCTGCCTAATAGAATTCTGTGAGGATTTAAAACTTATACAACAGTGTGGTAGTTGCTGGGGAGCGGTGGGTATAAGGGGACTAAATAGTAGTGGGGAAAGTGCAATAAAGATTAAATTTAAAAATATATAATGGACCCAGCACATAGGAAACACTCAATGAGTTTAGCATCCGTATTACTAATAACGTGCTTTAGTGATCTTTCTTCACCAGTAGAGATTTCTAGTAATGTTCAGTTTTACAAAGTAGCTGAGATGCTAGTTTCAGAATTGTCTGCAAGTGGCTACTTTAATCAGCCATATTCTTCTATTGAGAGAATTGTCCCTTGGGCTTGGTAGACCTTTTTGGAGGTGCATTAACTCACCCCACTAGAGTGTAATTTAGCATATTGTGAAGTGCATCTTGGGGTCCTCTTGAGGCCACCAGTAATCAAAGTACATCTCAGAGTGCTTCATATGCCCCCAGGGAATGAGACCAGCCATGCTTAAAGTGAACTGAACAAGTGGCTGGTTATAGTTTTTTTGTTTGGTTTTATTTTTAATACAGTTAATATTTATTGAGAACCTATTATGTGCTAGGCACCTTTGCTCAAATACCTCTGAGAACTGCATTTCACTCCTTTTTTTTTCAGTAGTTTTATTAGATGGGTGGTGAGAAAGTGGTGGATCCTCAGTCATACAGTATTCTGGTTGGATAGCTGCATTTTAAAAATGCCTAAACCTTCCTAATTTGAGGGCAGGCATTAAATTTGCCTGAAGAGCAATGCCTAAAGTGACATACCTTGTCATGTAAGTAATGATGGAGCCAGATCCAGGTTTTTTGACCCTTGTATGTTGTAGTCAGTTTTCTTACATTTTTAAAAAACATTAACTGTTATTGTGCTATAGGAAAACTGAGAAGAGTGAAGATTATGTTACTCAGGAACCATTGTGTGATCATTAGAGTTCTCAGCTTGGAATCTGGCTTATTATATGTTTAATGAGCCCCACAACTTACCTCCTTACATACATAACCATAACTTTCTTTTCACAGACGAAACAAATGAGGAGGGAATATATGTAGTTTGATGCTTTTTTCCCCCGGAGGAGAAAAACCCTATAATCCTAGTATATTAAATGAGTGGTTTAGAGGTGGGAATAATCTTCATAGACATAGTTTGGCCCTGCCAAAAGTCTGCTTGTAACGGTGACTAATAAATGAAGAAACCAATATTTTGCGTTACTGAACAAGTTTTTCTTTCTTTTTTCCTCTTAGATAGGAAGAAAGCCTGAGATATCAACCTATGAAGACTGTGAAGACAATTCTGAATAGCAGTTGTGACTGGTGATGTTGTCAGACATATTCTGCAGAGCATCTGGAATGAACCTCTTTTATTGACTGTTTTCACTGGCCCAGAACCAGGGGCACTGGATTCACTTGACTTTGTTAACATATGAACCAGTGTGATGGTGAAATGAGATGAGGCTCCGAAATGGAACTGTAGCCACTATTTTAGCATTTATCACTTCGTTCCTTACTTTATCTTGGTATACTACATGGCAAAATGGGAAAGGTAAGGGAAATATCTCTAAAAATGCGCATGAAATGTACTAGACTTTTGTGCTTTGTTAATGGTACATAAATGCTTAGGTTAAATACCCCAACAGTCTACATTTTGCATCCTATCTGCTGGGGGCCTAGCAGTTTCTTTCTGACATAAAAATGAAGCAATATTCTTAGACAGAGGAGACAGAAGTTTTCATTTGAATGGGGTTAGTTTTTTTTTTGGTATCTTATCATTTGAACAGATACTGAACAGTGTTTTATATTATATATGACAGGCAAGTTGCATAATCAAGAGTTTTTGCACTTTATTTTTATTATTAAATATCATAAATGTTTAATAAACATCCTTTACTGGATGTTGTTCAAAATGCCTAAAAGGATCTAATCGGCGACTTCATGAAATTTACATGGTGATTACAGTAATGATTTGGTGCTATGTGGTTAATGATTTAAGCTGCCTGCGTTGACAGATTGCTCTTTAGGCAATGAGAAGTTGATGAGAAATTCTGATTAGAAAACTTAAAAAAAATTTTAAATTAATTATGTTAGACTGTTGAACTCTGTTTTTAAGAAAGGTTATATGTTTAGTGATTGAAACTATATTCCGGGATCATGCATTTTGGGGGACTGTTTTTGAAGAGAAACTATTTGGAGTAGATTTGTATCCATGCTTTCTACCTGTCTCCTTTCCTTATAATAATCTAAGGAATGTTGATGGCAAGAAAGATAGAGGTGTTGAGATGAGGGCATATTTGTTTTGTTAGAGTCCAGTTAGAATAGTCATCATGACCTGGTTATTTGATGATGCTATTGCTGACATTTTTTACTGATTTGTATAAAGATAACTGAAAAGATGGATTCATGACAATTTTTCTCTGTCATGTTTATATAGATATGCATATTTACATACTGATATATCTGCGGGTATATGTATATAATAAATAAGCTGATATAAGTGAAAAACATATGCTCTGTGCTTTGAGCAAGTATGGTATTCTTTTTCTTTTCTCTCCCCACTCCTGGCCCCCATGAGCTGGGTTCTGGGTTCTAATTTTGGGGGAAACTCTTTGGAGAAAAATGAATGAAAAACTTGTTGAAGACCTTTCTTCTTTGTGGACAGATTGTGCATTTTAGGTTTTTTTTTTTTTAATTGTACCAAAGGAAAAAGATCTATGCAGGGAGAGCTTTGACTAGTTAGTTTAATCAATCTGTTGACTGTCCCTGATATGAACAAAACAAATGACTGGCCTTAAAAGTCTACTTGTGAAGTAAGAGAATTAACCATAATTTGTTAAGGGTGTTTGGATTTCTTTTTTTCAAGTCAGGAAACTTACCTATTCAGAGTTTTAATAATGGGGAAACTTGGCTCTTCTCACTGTATTTAAGGGATTAAAAGTTTTAGATTATCTATTCCATTTATCTTGTTTCTTATGTAAAGGTATTATGAGCATTTTTTTTGTATTAAGCTATCTTTAGAATCAAAATTAATTAAAAAAATATAAGATTCTTTCACCATGTTGTTTAGATATACATAAAAAATATGTTTTCTTTGATTATCACTCCTCGAATAGCTCTGTAATGCTTCCATGCACGCTCTTGTATGTGTTCTGTTTTTCTGCTTAGTGTTTTGTCCATACTCTTTTAGGTATCAACAGAGACCTGTATAGTTATGTAAAATCTTCTGGGTTGTAATGCTATATTGTTTATATAATCACTGTAACTGCTGAGCATTCATATTCTTTCTAGATTGTCCTGGTAGTCAAACAACTTGGATTTTTTGGAGCGGACCTGATTTCAGATATTCCATTATACCCATTAACTACGTGCTCTGATTTTTATATTGAAAGCATGGTTTCTATAATCTTGACATTGCTGGATTAATCATTTTTATTTTTTATTTATTCCTTGGTCTCTTTTATGTACCTAGCCTGTGTCTAGCACTATATTACATGCTATGAATATGAGAAGGAGTAAGACACTTCACAACTTTGAGAAGCTAAGGGACTGGTAGGGGAAGATGCCTGTAAACAAATATGATACTATAAGTTTATAGATAGAAGCAGTAACAGTGCTGTGCATGTTGTGTATTCTGTCATTAATCCTCATAACAACCCTGGAAGGCATTATTACCTCCTTTTTTGTAGGTGAGCAACCAACACAGTGGTTAAGGAACTTGTCAAGGTCATACATTAAGTGGTAGAGTGAAGTTTGAACTCTGGGCTGCTGATTCCAGAGATGATGCTCTTTGCTATTGCTCTGTTGACCAGAAGAGCAGAGACAGAAGCTACTGATTTTTGTGACACTTCATAGAGGACGGGTAAATGTGAAGACTGTTCCAGGGAGAGTAGGGAACAGTGGGCTTGTCAGGTAGAAGGAGCTGCATGTGCATCCATGGAGTTCTAAAAGGCTGTAGAGTATTTATTTGGTATTTATTTGTGCTTTGGAATTGTGAAATGCTCATTGTAATTGGCTCATAGCATTCCTAGACTGTCTGAAGTTTTTGGTTTTTTTTAAAGATTTTATTTATTTATCTTTAGAGGGGAAAGAAAGGAGAGATAGAGAGAAATATCAGTGTGTGGTTGCCTCTTGTGCGTCCCCTGCTGCGAACTGGCCTGCAACCCAGGCATGTGCCCTGACTAGGAATCAAACCGTAGTTGTTTGGTTCCCAGGCCCGTGCTCAATCCACTGAGCTATACCAGCCAGGGCTAGACTGTCTCAAGTTTTAACTGGTAATCACAGTGCAGTTTCTAGGAGTATATCTAGTTTGTCAAAGGTCTTCATTTACCACTTGGAAGAATATACGAGCACCATAGGGTTAGTATAAATTGGGGAGGATTCCATCCAGGGGAGCTGGAATTTAGACCAGGTTACCAGTTCCAGAGGATATAGGATTCCCATATAAAAATGACTAGAATTCCAAGTATGTGGTATGGACAGGTTGGGAAAGTTGAAAGCAAGTGTTATGAAGTGGGGCAGGAGTAATTACATGTCTTAGTTGTGGGGGTAGGGCCCCCAATGAGCCTCCTACTTTGGTCAGAAACAATCCAGAAACTCAGCAAGACTGATCGAGCAGTTGTAGATCCTTGTCCATGGGAACATTTAACATTCATGTACCTGTTTCTCTCTGGACATATGCTTTCAATTTTCTTGGGTATTTTTACCTAGGAGTGGAACTGTTGGGTCAAACTGTAACTTATGATTAATCATTTGGAAACCCAGACTGGTTTCCAAAGTAACTGGATCATTATGCATTTCCTTCATCATGGTATCAAAATTTTGATTTCTTTACATTGTTGACAACACTTGTTAACAAGTGTTAACAAGTTGTCTTATCTCCATTTTGGCTTTTTCATTCTACTATCCTAGTGGTTGTGAAGTAGTATTTCATAGTGGTTTTGATTTACCTGATGACTAATGATGTCTAACATCTTTTTATGTACTACTTAGCCATTTGTATAGCTTTCTTGGAAAAATGTTCACTCACATCCTGTGCCTGTTTTAAAAAATGGGTTGCCTTTATAAAAATATGTATTTCATTGGTTATATTATTACAGTTGTCCCAATTTTCCCTTTTTTGTCCACTTCCACCCAGTACCTCCCATTACCTCTGGCAGTCCCCCCAACGCCTTAGTTCATGTCTATGGGTCAGGCATATACGTTCTTTGGCTACTACATTTCCTGTACTGTTCTTAACATCCCCCATCTATTCTGTACCTATAAATTTGCACTTCTTAATCCCTATGCCTTTTCCACCATTCTCCCCTTCCCAACTGATTACCCTCCAAATTATTGCTATATTTATGATTCTGTCCCTGTTCTGCTTGTTTGCTTTCTTTGTTTTTTTAGATTCTGTTGTTGATAATTGTGAATTTATTACCATTTTAATGTTCATAGTTTTGATCCTCTTCTTTTTCTTAACTCCTTTTACAATTTCATATAAAAATGGCTTAGTGATGATGAACTCCTTTAGCTTTACTTTGTCTGGGAAGCACTTTATCTGCCCTTCCATTCTAAATGAAAAGGTTTGCTGGCTAGAGTAATCTAGGTTGTAGGTTCTTGGTTTTCATCACTTTGAATACTCCTTGCCAGTCCCTTCTAGCCTGCGAAGTTTCTTTTGAGAAATCAGCTGATAGTCTTATGGGAACTTTTTTGTAGGTAACTACCTGCTTTTGTCTTGCTGCTTTTATTCTCTGTTTATCTTTAACCTTTGACATTTTAATTCTGCTGTGTCTTGCTTTGGTCCCATTTGTATCCATCTTGATTGGGACTCACTGAGCTTCCTGGACTTGTATGTCTATTTCCTTCACCAAATCAGGGAAGCTTTCTTTCATTATTTTTTGAAATAGATTTCCACTTTCTTGCTCTTTCTCTTCTCCTTCTGGCACCCCTAATGATGCAAATGTTTCAAGTGCTTCAAGTTCTTTTAGAGTCTGCTTACACTATCCTTTTTTTTCTTGATTCTTTTTTTCTTCTTGTTGTTCTGATTGCTTGTTTTTTGCTTCCTTGTGTTTTAAATCATTGATTTGATTCTTGGCTTCATTCACTCTACTGTTGTTTCCCTATAAATTGTTCTTTATTTCAGTTAGTGTGTCCTTCGTTTCTGACTGGATCTTTTTTATGCTCATGAGGTCTTGACTAAGTTCCTTGAACATTTTTATAACCAGTGTTTTGAACTCTGCATCTGATAGATTGCTTATCTCCATTTTGTTTAGTTCTTTTTCTGGAGTTTTGTTCTGTTCTTTCCCATATTTCCTTGTCTCCTCATTTTGGCAGCTTCCCTATGTTTGTTTCTATGTATTAGGTAGAGCTGCTTTGACTCCCTGTCTTCATAGCATGACCTGTTGTAGAAAAGCTCACTGGTAAGTTGGTTGGGGTGGAGCTTTAGGTAATTATCAGCGTGGGGCAACCCATGTGAACAAGGTTGATGGAGTCTCCATCTGGCCTTGCTGCTTGCTCTGTGGCTCTGTGTGGGGGAGGGCTCAGAATGGTGCAGTGCTGCTGCCTGGC